TTAAAAAGTCATAAGTACGTATGTCTACAAACAACACGATTGGCAGGCAGTTGCCAGGGTAAAAGGAGAGGGCAGGACTGTCATTCCCCTGGATCCTCTGCAGGCAATCTCTCAGCTTTAAGGGCTTAATAACACCTGGCTGGAGTCAACTGTGCCTACCTGCGGTTCCAGCACCTTTTCTTGGATTTTCCTACTCCCCACACATACCTTCATTAATATAATCCCTAACAGAGGATGCCCTCGGTCTTCAGTGGGGACACTGAAAAGTCTCTGCCCGAGTGATTCACTGCTCTTACATGTCAGCCCTCGGGGTGGGGGGTGGGGGTGGAGTTAATCTTCCACAAACATTCTGGCTTGGAGACCTGCTTTAGGAGACCGCCTCTCTCTCTCTCAACCTCATCCAGTCCTGCCCTCTTCTCTTTTCCTCATTTTTACCATAGCTTGAAATTATCCCCATAAAAATAGAAAACAAACTCTAATATAAACATTAAATTGTCACATTCTCTAGATTAAACTCGCTTACAGCTGTTTTACATCGATTTGTTTCATGAGCATATTTTTAGCCCATAATTATAAAATAACTATATTTTTCATTTCTACAGCCTCACACTGTCTAGTTTGGTAACCATTAACATGTGACTATTTGTTAATTTAAATAACACAAAAATCCAGTTCTTCAGTTGTACTGACCGCATTTCAAATACTCAATGCCACATGTAACTAGTGGCTACAGTACTGAACAGAAAAGAAACAGTCATGACAGAGAACTCAATTGGGCAGGACTGCTATAGACGTTTTTTAAAATTTTATTTTATTCAAGTATAAAACTCTTTTTCAACTGAAACATTGGCAGAGTTTAACCTTGTAATTTTCAATTCTCTGCACACAAATTCTCCACGCCAGAGAGTCTCAAAATGTGGTCAGTCCCTGAGCAGCAGCAGCATTACTTACTTAGGAACTCGTTAGAAATACAGTTACCCTACAAGAGCACTGATACCGCCCCCACTCCACCCCCGCCCCCACCCCTGGCTGAAATCTGTATATAACTTTTGATTCCCCCAAAACGTAACTACAGTTGTCCTTCAGTATCGTCAGGGGATTAATTCCAGAAACCCCTTCAGATACCAAAATCCGCGGACGTTTTGCTTAATTGAGTGCCTTATATAAAATGATGGAAAATAATACACACAGTCAGCCCTCCGCATCCTCGGATTCACAACCACGATGGGAAATACTGCTTTCAATCAGGGATCTGAAAATGACAAATCAGGGATACGAAGGGCTGCTTGTATATTTGCTGAAAAAAATATCCATTTATAAGTCGACCCATTCAGTTCAAACCCGTGTTGTTCAAGGGTGAACTGTACAAATTCTTGAGCGCCTCAGCAATCTTCCTTAATTGGTTTTTAATGAGCTCTCCAGTGACCAGGAGATTGTGAAGCATGCTTAGGTTCTAGACCACTGTTCTAAGTTACTTAAGAGCAGCTGTCATCACAACATAAATGATGAGATATACCATTACAGTCTAAAATAACCTATTAGCGCCTTGACGCGTTTGGCTCAGTGGATAGAGCGTGGGCCTGTGGACTGAAAGGTCCCAGGTTCGATTCCAGTCAAGGGCGTGTACCTTGGTTGTGGGCACATCCCCAGTAGGGGGTGTGCAGGAAGCAGCTGATCGATGTTTCTCTCTCATCGATGTTTCTAACTCTCTATCCCTCTCCCTTCCTCTCTGTAAAAAAATCATAAAATATATTTTTTTAAAAATAAAATGACCTATTAGTTGTATGTCAGCTATGAATTCATACACAATCACGTTTCTAGTACATCTTATGAGAGAAAAATTCAGTATTTTCAATGATCATATTAAGACAAAACCAATCATGAACTCCATTTCTTTTTTTTAAAAAATATATATATTTTATTGATTTTTTACAGAGAGGAAGGGAGAGAGATAGAGAGTTTGAAACATCAATGAGAGAGAAACACCGATCAGCTGCCTCTTGCACATCCCCTCCTGGGGTTGTGCCCGCAACCAAGGTACATGCCCTTGACCGGAATCGAACCTGGGACCCTTCAGTCCGCAGGCCAACGCTCTATCCACTGAGGCAAACCGGTTAGGGCTGAACTTCATTTCTTAAAAAAAAAATCAACACTGTAATTTGCTTCCCCTTCCAGTTTGCCGGTCCCTTTTCACTTCCTATTAATATAATCACATTTTAGTCTTTTTCTAAAAATTTAATTAGAGCCCTGACCGGTTTGGCTCAGTGGATAGAGCGTCGGCCTGTGGACTGAAAGGTCCCAGGTTCAATTCCAGTCAAGGGCATGTACCTTGGTTGCAGGCATATCCCCAGTAGGAGGTGTGCAGGAGGCAGCTGATCGGTGTTTCTCTCTCATCGATGTTTCTAACTCTCTATTCCTCTTCTTTCCTCTCTGTAAAAAAATCAATAAAATATATTTAAAAAAAATTAATTAGAATACACAACAGTGGAATAACCAGGAAAAAAGGGAGACATTTTCAAATTTTATGCGATTTGAAATTTTTGCATGAGCAACTATTACTTTTATAACAAACTCATATGAAAAAGTAAAATCCATTAGCTAGAATTACGTCAGCAAGAAGCTGAAACTAAAGTTACACAAGTGTTCCAAAAAGGCTAAGCTATTATATACTCTAATTTTCTCTTACCATAGACCTAATATAAAACTAAGTATTTGCAACATCAACATGTATATTAAATATTTCTTACCAAATTTGCTGATAGAAAAACATCTTCAGAAATTTCAAATAAGAACAGCAATGCAATACATTAAAGTGATTATAAAACCACTGGGAAAAGATCTACTAGTAGTCTTGGCTTACTGCAAATGTGGCCCAAAAAGAAGAGACATTAAAAGCCTGATTGATTACAAATTTCTGCCACAGCCAAGTGTCTACTAAGATAACTTACCAGTGGAAAATTACTTACAATTTGCAATTTGCGTATAGAATGCTTCAGGTGTATATATTGCAATAGCAAGCAGGCCATTTTAAGAAATTTTACAGAAATATTTACAATATATTGAGCTTATGTGCATGGGGAACTTAAATCACACTAAATACTGCCTCAGCATGTGAATGTCCACTTTCAATCAAATATTCTTCCATAAAGTGAATACTGACAATGCTTGGCAGAGTTTTAAAATCTAAACATTCTCCCTTACTAAACACTAAGGCCACAATTTCCAAGTTTTAAATACTGTTTTTTTAGAAAGTCAAATGGCTACCCAGCCGGTGTGGCCGGGTGGTTGAGTCCACCCATAAACCAGGAGGTTGCTGTTTCAATTGCCCGTCAGGGCACATGGTCAGGGCACATGTCAGGGTTGCAGGCTCCATCCCCAGTAGGATGTGCAGGTGGCCATGTTTCTCTCCCATTGATGTTTCTATCTCTCCCTCTCCCTTCCTTTCGCTCTAGGAATCAATAAAAACATTTTTTTAAACGTCAAATGGCTAATATTAAGTACTAACCATGTGCCAGATAGTGTTATTTCTCTCACTCATCCTGGTATTCACAGCACAAATCCAAGCATATAATATACATTTAACTGGAATTTATGAAAAAAAGAAATGAATATTTAAGTTCTTTGAGTGAATTCAGATATATATATTTTTAAAAGTCCCAGAGGTTACACATTGACTTAGGAAACATGACAAAAACATAATAAGCTAAATTACTTATGACAATTAAAAATACCACATATCAGGATATGATTATTTGCAAAGTTAGTGGCAAAGAGATGAAATAAATTCTAACTAGACTGAGAGTCCTCCATCCAGATCTCCCGACCAGACGGCGACACTATATTTCTTGTGTGTGTGTTTTTTTTAAGGTTAACTTTTTACTTCTCTCTTTTTTGAAAACAAAATATTTTTATTTATTTCAAAGAGGAAGGAAGAGGGAGAGAGCGAATCATGATGGGCCGCTTCCTGCACGCCCCACACTGGGGATCAAGCCCACCACCGGGGCCTGTGCTGCGAACGGAATCGATCCCTGACCTCCAGGTTCATAGGTCGACGCTCAACCACTGAGCCAAGGCAACACTCCATTTAAAAAGAGAAAGGGACCCAGCACTCGTCCCACCCTACAGTGACCATCAGAGGAAGGACTACAACAACTACAGAGAATGATACAAAGAACACTTCCACACAAGGCTTTCAAAGCTAGGGTGGTCCTCAAAGAAGTCAGAACATTCCACGCACACAACGGTCTCTAGAGACCCCGGGATCTCCAAAGGCTCCCGAAACACCCGTCTCCCCGGAACAGCACCTCCCGATGAGCTCCTCCTCCGCCCCCCAAGGAGCTCTCCGCTGGACAGCCACCCCGGGAATTTCTCCCGGCATCCGCACTGACAGTCCTCCCGTCCTCCCCTCCCTCCCCGGGCCGGTATCAGACCGCGGCATCTCCCTCCGGAGGAAAAAACGGAGGGCGGGGGAGGGAGGAGAGGGGAGCGCTTGCAGCGAGGTCGGTCGTGGAGAAGGAAGATGAGAAGACGCGAGGGGCCAGGGTGGAGTTGCCTCCGTCTCCTGGAGGCCTAGCGAACACCCGCGACCCTCAGGGCACGCCCCTCGCCCGCCGAACCCCAACAAGCAGTGGGGAGACTCGAGTGACAGCCCCACCACCGGTGCCGCGCCCCCTCCCCCGGGCTCCCGGGGAGACGCTGGCCCCGGCCCCACCGGCAGCAGCTGGGAGCTCCTCTCTCTCTCTCTCTCTCTCTCTCTCTCTCTCTCTCTCTCTCTCTCTCTCTCTCTCTCTCTCTCTCTCTCCTTCCAGTCCACGTCGCCGATGAGTGACAGGTCCCGGGGGACGCGATCGCAAGCGCAAGCCGTTCGGGACTGCCGGTGCCACCCTGCGCGGAAGCCCTCCAGCGGGCAAGGCGGGGGACACGTTCCCGACGGCGCGGGGGAACCGGGTCGAGGCCTGGCCAGCCCCAGTGGCCCCACACCCGGCGGGGGTGGCACTTACTGCGGAGGTTGTGGATCAGCTCCGAGTGGCTGGCGCCGCCGGATTTCCAGGCCATCGCTAAGCACACCCGGAGCAGGTACAGGACCACCTTCAGCGCGGCGACGGTGCCCAGCAGCTTCCCCAAGAGTGAGACCACCTCCCACACGGTCACCGCCCCGCTCGCGTCCCCGCTGTTGCCGCCGCTGTGAGTGCTGTCGCCGCCGCTGCCGCCACTGCGCGCTCCCGGCATGCCCCGCGACACGCATGCGCTCTGTGATGCCGCGCGGGCTTGGGCGCGGCTGGGTGGGGCCGCGGGCGGGGGTGGCCTGGAGCTGCGCGGCCTGCGCTGGTGGCTGCTGCGGCTCCCGGGGACCCGAGGCGAGGCGAGGCCGAGTCAGCGCGGCCGCCGCCGCTGCGCGTCCCTTTTTGAGGCCTCGGGCTGCAGGCCGCCTCCCTGCTGGGTTTGCCCCGCGGCCAGGCGGGGTGGGCCCCGGCGCGTGCCCGGCTGCGGCTCCGCTCACCCCGCGCGGTGGCGGGCCGGCGGGCCGATGTGGTTCCTCCGCTGCCGGTGGCTCTGCAGTCGCCGATGGGTCAGCTGCTGCGAGCGGCGGGTCTGCTCCTATAGCTGTTCAGATTGCTAGATGGTGGGCTTTCTCCGTCCTGCCTCACCCAACCCTGTTGACTAATATTTAGGTTAAGTCGAGTCCGAGTTCCCGGTGGTAGAGCCTGAATCATCGTAATAGGAGCACCGGAGGGCAAAGGCTCTCTTTAACCCGAGTTCTCCAGCCTCTGGCTTTGTGACAAGTACATCAGCGTTTGGTTCGCAGAGACTTTTGAGGTCCTAAAGCACAAATTCAGAGAGTGGAAGAATACCGTGACATATGGGTGTACGGGGGCGGGGGGGGGGGTGGGGGGTGGAGAATGCTTTACTTATTAGAACAATGTACATGGTTAAAAATGCCACAGTATCCTATGTCGAATGTGTTACTCTCCCAACACAAGGTGCGTTTTCAGCAAATTAAGCCTCACAAATTCTACCGTTAGACTAGACACCAGCTTTATAGCTGTCAGCTGCACAAGACGATGAGCCAGACGATAAGCGAGAACCCTACAGGGAACTTGCTGGCACCTAATCAGAACCGAGACTGACAGCATCCAGTCATCATTTAGCCCAATAAATTTTTAAGGAAGAAAAAGCTATGTCAAGACATTTATGCTATTGCGTCAGCAATTTTCAAATTCTAATTCTCACGAGGTTTTGTCATATGTGATACTCAGTCTCTCCCAATCCGAAATATACATTGCCCACTTTCTGGGATTCTATGACCATAAATGAAACCACACTCAAAACAGTGTTCTTTACTTCAGTAATAGGAATAAAATCGTCAGTTTGGGACTAACAGTTATCCATTTCATCTGATTTCCTGATGGTCTTCCATTTAAAACAAAACAAAACCAGTCTCAATCCTCAATGAGACCTGGTATCTCTCTAAAGCTGACAACCAACACACCATTATGAATATTGTATAAAGGAGATTTTTTTTAAAAAAAAGATGATCTAGCCGAAACCGGTTTGGCTCAGTGGATAGAGCGTCGGCCTGCGGACTGAAAGGTCCCGGGTTCGATTCCGGTCAAGGGCATGTACCTTGGTTGCGGGCACATCCCCAGTAGGAGGTATGCAGAAGGCGGCTGATCGATGTTTCTCTCTCATTGATGTTTCTAACTCTCTATCTCTCTCCCTTCCTCTCTGTAAAAAATCAATAAAATATATTTAAAAAAAAAAAAAAAGATGATCTACGTTCCAATTGGGGATCTGCATCAAAAGAAAACTAGCAACAAAGGGTAAAATTTAAGTGCTATTAGTGGTCTAAATATAAAGTTCTCTTTTGTTTAGATAGATCATGGGCTAATCAGGAAAAGATATGGGAAGGAACTGGTCCTGGAAAGATGGGTAGGATTCTGAGAAGAGAGGAATAAGAGGGTATTAAAGGTGTAAACAAAAGCATGAGGGAACCTACAACACGGACTTCTGGGCATCAACGCTACCCATCACCTCATTCTTAATTGTATTCATAAATGACTTGAAGGTTACACAACTAGGCAATGGTCGTCAAAATTAGAACTGGAGTCTTCAGAATTCCAACTGTAGACATTGACAGTGTGCGCTAACAACTTTGAAGCGAAGGATTTATTTGGGAAACAAAGAGGGAGAGGTTTAGAATAAGAAGTTGGTGTGTAATGGGATGTACTTTCGTGAGAATTTAAGGATTTGGACTCTTCTCCATGCACCGTGAAATGTAAAACTGAATGCTCAGGCGTAGCTACCAGGTGGTTTCTCTTACTTGATTTTGTTTTGTGTCTGCTCTTAAATCTGTTTTACATTGCGCAATTTTTGCACAACTGCATTGAGTCAGTGTTCCTACCTGACTTTGCAGATTAGGAGCAGATCGTGCCGTACTAGGACCTGCCCATAAACTCTTCCCGGAGGGAGGGAGGGCGGGCGGTGCGCGCCCGGCGGCGGAAGAGAATTGGCCCTCCGCAGCCACCGTCAGGCCCGCCCAATCAGGGCTCCGCGGGAAGAGGCGGGCTGGAGTGGCGCGCGCTGCGCTGCTGGCTGTATTGCGGGGGCTTCGGCATGGAGGAAATTTATGCCAAGTTCGTGTCTCAGAAAATCAGCAAAACCCGCTGGCGACCGGTACCTTCGGGGAGTTTGCAGACCGCGGAGACCTTCGCTACGGGCTCTTGGGACAACGAGGTAGCGCACCCCCGGGCCAGGGAGCCCCCGCCGCAGCCGCGAATTCTCTCGCCTTCCAGATCCCGTCGCCTTTCTCCGGTCCCCGAGTCCCCGTCTCGGGCTCGGAACCATCGATGGTGTGCTCAGACTTCCCTCGTTATTCTGAGCTGCTTTTAAAGCAAGATTGCTGGGAGGCAATGCAGGTTTACATTTCCGAGAGCTAAACGTATACGTCTCCAGATAAAACTTTCTGCTTTGCAGGAAAATCGTGTTTTATTGTGGTCTATTGGCGATTTGGGGAACTTGGACTCTGATGGAGGGTTTGAAGGAGACCACCAGGTGTTGTGCGGTACCAGGCACTACGGTGACGTTATGGATTTACAAGTAAGTCTGTGTGGTATCCAACAGCGAAGTGTTTAAAAGCGGAGAGGGATTCATTTAGAGATGCAAAGGGCCTTAAAGTGTGTCTCGCCTCACCCCGGTTCACAGCAAACTGAATTCTCGATCAGTTATGGTTCGCGAGCATGTAGCCTACTGGATGACAGAATCAGGACTGCGGCAGGGGATGTGGATTTAATCTTAGTTTTTCATCTTGAGCTTTAAAAAAAAATTGACTGACTATCTTCTGTGTGCCAAGCACTGTCTTGGGAATTGCACATAAGTTAATTCTCATTGCTTGCTTGTGAATCAAGTATTGTTATCCTTTTTATCAAGGAGAAAACTGACACGAAGATCTTTTGAGCACATGCTATATGAGAAATGCTCTGAAAGAATTTAATTGTTTTTGCCCTTTGAATTCTCACAGCCCCCTAAGTGGGGATTAGTTCTCCCCTCGTAAAGGTGTACCTGAGCTCAGAAAGTTTAACTTGGCTAAGGTCTCGAGGCAATTATTAAGCGGTGGGATGGAATTAAGTGTTCAAATCCTGGGTCTGCCTGACTTTAAGTCCCTGCGTTTTCTTCTATAGAAGGTTGCCTAAAGCTTTATGGTAGTGGTCCAAAATTAATTAAATCAATTATAGATTAATGAGTTTAGGGAAATAGTTTATTTTTTCTTCACAAAAATACTTTTATTTGAATAGGAGTTTTGACTTTCAGATTTAGAAAGTCACATTTTATTTGCTTAGCATTTACAGGATCTTTGCATTTTAAAGTTGTCATCACTGCTAATTAAGTTAAACAAATGAGCTTCCTCCCTATTGATATTTCTGAATCTATTAACAAGCAGGAATTTTCTACTTAGTTTTTGGACCAGGAAAGAATCGTAGCTGCTTCGTCAACAGGATGTGTTACAGTTTTCCTTCACCATCCCAACAACCAGGTAAAGAAATGCTGTTTGAAAACTGAATTTGTATTTTATTTATTTTTAGGAAGGCTTAAAGAAGGCTGTACTTAATAATGACACAAATAATAAGATTTTATAATCTCAAAACATGCAGGAGAAAAATTGTTACATTACCCATCTTTTAGTAGGTTAATTCTAGAGCTATGTTTGTGTGAACTTTTATTGAAATTGGATAGTCTTAAATTCTGTTCGTTTGTATCTAACAATATAGTATCTGGCAAGTGATTTTTCTGTAATTCTCTCTCTTAAGTTCTTACTCTGGACTTTAAAGAAAGAACCTTCTAGCTCAGGTATCATGAAAGAGAACAGGAACAGCCACTTTGCTTCAATGGCTAGAATCTCCGTTTTAATTAGAAGAGAGGATATGCTGTATGAAGACTTGACATTTTTTTTCCTTTCCCCCCCTTTTTTAAAATAGAATTTATTGGGGTGACATTGGTTAATAAAATTGTACGGGTTTCAGCGGTATAGTTCTGCAGTACATCGTTTGTACATTGTATTGTGTGTTCATTGCCCCAAGCCAAGTCTCCTTCCATCACCACTGACATTTTATCGATGTCTTTCTTGTGTACTAAAGCCCAAGAGTGCTGATCTTCACTGCATAGTGGTGAGGGCAGTCCTTTACAATGGCTTCACTTGTAGTAACAGTTTTAAGTTCCTGGAAGAGAGTGCTTATTTAGATTTTGGAATTAATAAAGGTCACTTTCCTTTTAAGCATGCCTAGTAAGTGTAAGACCAAGCTCTTACTGTTTTCCTTAATGGAATCATTTAGAAAGCTCTATAGAGATTTATTTCTTAGGCTAATGCCTAAATAATTTAAAGTTGCTTTGCCCAGCAGGTGTGGCTCAGTGGTTGAGCTTTGACTTATGAACCAGGAGGTCACAGTTCCATTCCTGGTCAGGCCACCTGCCCAGGTTGTGGGCTCGATCCCCAGTAGGGGACGTGCAGGAGGCAGCGGATCAGTGATTCTCATAATTGATGTTTCTATTTCTCACTTCCTCTCTGAAATCAATAAAAGTAAAGTAAAAAAAAAATTTTAAATTGCTTTTGAACACACTACTACCAGATACCTAAACACCATTTCTTTAGTTTGAGAAAAGATTGGGATATTTTTGGACAGTGTTCCTTTAGAATCTAATCCATTGTATACAGAGCTTTGATGGAAGTAGGTTCTAGACTTTCGTATTTGGA